ACACATGAAGAGTCTGAGAGTCCCATCAACATGGACACGGAGCGCAGGTGATCTTCAGCTAAGAACAACTAAGGCATTTCTCAGGATAATCTTCAGGATCCTCCCAACTGTAGTTTTCTTATTTTTACACTCTCAAGTCATTGCTATGTCTATAAACCCTGGTACAACTGAAACTAGTCGGTGAGTTCTGAAAAATGCTTTTTGGACCACCTCTCTGCACATCTCCCTCCCCCTGAAGCCAGTCATGTGCACTTAAACAGATGAACTGAGAACCACAAGCTGACGTCTAGAGATAGCCTCTGAGCAGACTACCCCAGACGGAAACCAGTGCCCCAGTTTTCCTGCTCTTCAGGTCTAGTCACAAAAATATATTCTCTTCTGGGCCTTCTTTTTCTCTAGGCTTTCTATTGGAGGTTCTATTGGCTAATTTTATGTCAACTTGACACAAGCTAGAATCATCAGAGTGGAAGGTGCCTCAGTTAAGAAAACGCCCCCATTAGACTGGGCTGTAAGCAAGCCTGTAGGGCATTTTCTTAATCAGTGATTAGCCTATTATGGATGGTGCCACCCCGGGGCTAGTGGTCCTGGATTCTATAAGAAAGAAGGGTGAGCAAGCCATGAGGAGCAAGCTAGAAAGCAGCACTCCTCCATGGTCTCTGCATCAGCTCCTGTCTCTGGGTTCGTCCCCTGTTAGAGTTCCTGTCCTGACTTCCTTTGATGATGAGCTGTGATGTGGAAGCTGAATAACCCCTTCCCTGTCGTCCTGCTCTGTGGTCATGGTGTTTCATCACAGCTATAGTAACCGAACTAGGGCAGAACTATTCTCAAGCTGCGGGGTTTGCTGCAGCTCAGGCTCTTTATTAGAGAGGAGCAACACCAACCACCCTTCCACCCTGTACCCCCTCCACTCTCACCTCTCACCCCAGCGCTTGCAATCCACAGTTAGACTAGCATTCTCGGAAGGCTGTTTTCTCAAGACATGCTCCTGCTCAGAGTCTTCCAGAGGATTGTCTGGCTTAGGGGATAATAGTCAGGGCCTAGAGAGATGGTTAGTAACGCTTGCTGTTTAATCGTGAAGACTGAACTGGAGCTTGTATTGCAGCAACCTTGTCAGGGGTCTAACACATACCTTTAACTCCAGCTCCAGAGAATCTGATACCCTCTTTTGGCTCTGTGGGAACCTACGCATATGGCATAACCTAGACACACCCACACACATGCACTTGCACATGCACATACTCACACACTATAAGATTAAAAATTTTTAAAACTTAGTGTCAAAATCAGTGTGTGGTGGCACACGTTTTAGTCACCTTTAGTTCCAGCACTCAGGAGGAAGAGAAGGGTGGATCTCTAAGTTCAAGGTCAGCCTACTCTACAGGTGGAGTTCTAGGATAGCCAGGGCTGCACAGAGAAACCCTGTCTTTAAAAACCAAAACCAAACCAACCAAACAACAAACAAAAAAACCCTTAGTGTCTTTAACCTAACTCTAAATGTCACTGTATCTACAGATGAACCAAAGAATGCAGGCTTGTGGAGGCTCCCATTGTGGGCACTGTCATTTACGTTAGCTGACTCTATTCCCACAGCAATCATGTGAGCAAGAATTATTAGCACCACAGGTGGAGGGAACTTGGACCAATCAAACATCAAATGACCTTGAATAGGGAGTGAGAGTGATGCAGTGAAGAGCTTTCAAGGATTATATGGGCGTGCTCAATGTGTTTTCGTGCTATTTATGCCTCTCACAGAACAAAATCTGTGTGACTATTATGGTTGTGAAAAAAATGAAGAAAACTGCCAGGATCCTTTACAATGCAAGTGCCAATCTGGGATGTCAAGGCCGAACCCACTGGTTCCCTTTTGTACTACTGGTGAGTGTCCCAGCTGCTCCCAAGCAGTCTTCATACTCTCACTTTCATCGCTTCTTGGCCTTCTGGCTAAGATCAAGTGTATTAAGTGTCTGACTCTAACTTTCCCTGCTCTTTCTCTCTCTTTCTCTCTCTCTCTCTCTCTCTCTCTCTCTCTTTCTTTCCTTTTTCTTTTTTGTTTTTTCAAGACAGGGTTTGTCCGTGTAGCTTTGGAGCCTGTCCTGGAACTTACTCTGTAGACCAGGCTGGGGGCTGGAGAGATGGCTCAGAAGTTAAGAGCACTGGCTGCTCTTCTGGAGGTCCCGAGTTCAATTCCCAGCACCCACATGGTGGCTCACAACCATCTGTAATGGGGTCTGGTGCCTTCCTTGCCAGCATTGTATGCTTAATAAATAAATAAATAAATCTAAAAAAAAATCCTTTGTAGACCAGGCTGGCCTTGAACTTACAGAGGTCCAGCTGTCTCTGCCTCCCAAGTGCTGGAATTAAAGGCGTGCGCCACCATCGTCTTTCCAAAGGCAAACATGATTGCTTGAGTTCCTGTATGTATTTTGACTTTAGACAAGAACCTGGGTTAAAAGCTGCCAAAATGGCCCATGATCAACTTCACAAGAGACACATTTACTTAGAAAAAGCAATGCACAAATTGTATGCTGTCACATGTTTTCATGGGGTTGAAGAGACTGTCTCTGGGCTGGTGAGATAGCTTCAACCAGCAAAGGCACTTGCTAAGCAAGCCTGAGTTTATTCCCTAAACTTGGGTAAAGGTGGAGGGAGAGAACTGACTCTGCCCATTAACTTGTCCTGTGACTTCACACATGTGCTGTGGAATAATATGTCCTCTATCATACACACACATACACACACACACACACACATACACAAATTTAAAAAAAAATAATTTGTATTTATGTGCATTGGTGTTTTACCTGCATGTATGTCTGTGTGAGGGTGTCGGATCCCCTGGAACTGGAGTTACAGATAGTTGTGAACTACCATGTGGGTGCTGAGAATTGAACCCAAGTCCTCTGGAAGAGCAGCCAATGCTCTTAACTGCTGAACCATCTCTCCATCCTTGAGAAAAAAATTTTAAGAAGAGATTCTTTCTGAAAATGACCTAGAAATCACTCTGTTTTAAAGCTCGAGCGTGTCCTGGGTCCTGCAGTGCAGCAGACAAGAAGCAATGCCTAAGGAAGGATAACGGAGCACTGGAGTGTGCGTGCATGCCGGGCTACCAAAAATCCACCGATGATGACAAGTGTGAAGCGTAAGAAATCACTCCATCTTTGTCTCGTCACAGCATAGTGAGGCTAGAACTTGCAGCACATATGAAGGAGCTGGCGAGCTGGCATGGGTTGGCAGGTTTAGCGTATCACTGTAGCACACCTCACCATACTAGAACCACGTGGAATATTCTCTTGGAAAAGTGGTAGCATGAAGAAGATAACAGAAAGAGCAAGGAGAACAGAATGAAAGGCAGACAGGGAGGGAGAAATAGAAATTGGGGTGGGAACTCCAGCATACTCTCCACAAGGGTTTTAATGTGGCTTCCTGTTGTGACTGTGTTCCAGGTGTCCCTTTGGCTATAGTGGCCAGGACTGCAAAGACCGTAAGTATAGATACCCTAAGTTACTAAACATCCAAGAAACACATGTGAACTACATCCAGAGGCCTCCCCACTCCGCCAGTCTTCCGTCATTCACTGAGAGAGAAGCTCAGCTTGGAGTTTGTCTCCTGGGTCCTGCCTCCCATACTCACCCTAAGGTGATGGGCAGCAACAGTTCTGCTGTTGGAAACAACAGAACTCAGACCCAGGGGTGAGCTGGTGCCTCTGGACCCCCTCCAGACCAGAGAAGGGTCATTATATCCTTAGTCATCATACTCAATTTCTGTATTATAGACGGTGCTTCCAAAAATGGTGGGTATTGGTGAGCATTTAGAAAGCAGGCATTTAAGTGCTCAGATTGGTCTTATCAAATCTTATTATTTATTCATTTATTTATTTATTTTGGCATCAGGGTTTTACTGTATAATCCTGGCTGACCTAGAACTGGCTATGTAGACCTAGGTTGGCTTCAAACTCACAGAGATCTTCCTGCCTCTGCCTCTCAGGTGCTGGGATTAAAGGTGTGTGCCACCACCACCTGCCATGAATGAGTTTTCCAGTGTTTGTCAGGTTAAGTGTTTGGAACTGGTGTGAGCGTTATGTTCACAAGCTATTCTTATGGTCATATTCTAAGAGTCCATAGCAGCTAGGCAGAGTATTGAATGTCTGTAATCTCAGTACTTGGGATGCCGAGGCAGGAGAACCCATCCTGGGTTACATACCGAAAGGTCTATAGCACAAGTCTGAGGTAGAAGAGTGTAGGCGTTAACAGTCTCCTCCTTCATAAGCTATTCACTACCTGCCTCCTCTACTAATGACATGTTTAACCCTGATGGAGGGCAGGCAATGGCAGGAGAGATGGAGAGAGAGTGTAGACCTCAGTGAGGTCCTCCACCCCACGTAGCCCAGGAAGACCTGGCTGCCAACAGCGCCTTTTGTATTTGGGATTTCATAGCTGGTAAGGCTGCATGTAATGGTTGTGAGTTGCAGACCACCTAATGGTTAGGGCATGAGGACAAGGAGAGGGTGGCAGCAGAGATGAGTACCTGCCCTGTGTGCCTCTCTGCAGGGCTGGGAGACAGGAACCTGATGGAGCTCACACTGAGACCCTAGAAACATGAGTCCCTATGCAGTAGACAGCAGGACTAGATTGTTGGAGGCCATCTGTTCCAGTTTCATTTCTGTTGCTGAGACAAACACCCTGACCAAAAACATTATAAGAGAGAAAAGCTGTGTCTGGAATTACCTGTGTAATTCCAGGTTACAGTCTACTGTTTTGGGGAACCAAGGCAGGAACTCAAAGCATTGCAGTCTACAGCCAAGAGCAAAAGGAGAATGAGCACGTGGATCCTTGTTTGGTGCTTTCTTGCTCCCAGCTAGCTTCATTCTCTCCTACTGTTCAGGACGGCCCGCCTAGGGAATGATGCTTCCCACAGTGGACTGGGTCTTCCTGTATCAGTCAAGACCCCTCTGCCCCAGGCATACCACATAGGCTAACCCTGTTTAGATAATGCCTCATTAAGACTCTCTTCCCAGCGTAGGTTGTGCCAAGTTGACAGTTAAAGCTAACGAGGACATCGTTTTTGTCTGTTCCCTTTCAGCATTTCAGCTGATCCTCACCATTGTGGGCACCATAGCCGGAGCCCTCATTCTCATCCTGCTGATTGCATTTATCGTCTCAGTGAGGTACGTGTGCGTGTGTGTGTGTGTGTGTGTGTGTGTGTGTAGGTGTGTATATGCTGCTAGATAAGCTGCTTTCCAAAACATATTCATGGGTGGGAAGAGCAAACAAACAAGGCGGGCCTCTCTCCCACAATTGAATGTTTTTTTCTTATTTAAATTATTTTCTTTTTTTAAAGATTTATGTTATTTTTATGTAAGTATGTGTAAGTATTTTATGTACACGTTTATTTATGTATGCTTGTATAAGTGCGTGTCAATACAAGCACTCGAGGAATCCAGGACAGAGTATCATATCCCCTAGAGCTACCCAACCTGGTGTTGGGACCTGAACTCGGGTCCTCTCCAAGAACAGTATGTGTTCTTATCCGTTGAACATCACTGTAGCCCTTCCTCAATTTTATCTTCTTAAGTGATTATATATGTATATATATGTATATATATTTCTATATCCTTTATGTTTTAAATTTTTTGTTCAGATTTATTTTTGCTTCACACTAATCAGACCCAGCAATCAGTTTTCTGTGGCGTTAATCACTGTTCACGAGGGCCAGGTGTGGTGGCGCACCCCTTTAATCTGAGCACTCAGGAGACAGAGGCAGGCGGATCTCTGTGAGTTCGAGGCCACTTTCCCTTAGCACCATTTAACTTGTTATGCATTGCTATTCACGCCTGTACTCAATCCTTGGAAAGTGGAGTCAGGAGGATTAAGAGTTTAGGGCCATCCTCAACTACATAGCAAGCAGGTTTGAGGCCAGCCTTGACTACATGAGATCCTAAAACAAAATTGAGGAACGGGTCTGGGGCTCAGTTGGTAGAGTGTTTGCATAGGCTGCATGAAGTCCTGAATTTGACTTCTCATAGCACAAACCAGATGTGGTGGTGGCTCCCTGTCATCCCAGCTCAGCTGGTAGAGACAGGAGACTACATAAGGAGTTTCAGGCCAGCCTGGGCTCTATGGGGACAGCCTCGAAACAAAGACATATTTAATTCCATTGATGTTGTCAAATATAACTTCCCCCCAAAGCATGCACCTGCCTAGGACTCTGCTGAATGACCCTCAGCAGGGTCCCAAGGCAACCTCTGCAGAAACCCCGGGTTTTAAAGTGGTCAGGTCATCTCAGCTTGGTGCCTTTGGTCTCATAAGGGAAGGGAAGTGAGGTCTCTTTAGCCATTCAGCAATTTCTAGCAATGCTGCCTCTCTTCCAGTAGCCAGGAAAAGGATGCTGCCACCCTCTTCCCATTGACATGTGCCCAGTGGGCTCCACATTGTGAGGCAGCTGCTTTCTCCCCTAACATTTAGCTCAGATCTTATATTCTGGTAACACATTCTGGCCTTTTCCTGCTATAACTGTAGAGGATGGACAGATACCCAGTTCTTTTTGTTTTGTTTGTTTTTGTTTTTTGAGACAAGGTTTCTCTGTATAGCCCTGGCTGTCCTAGAACTTGCTCTATAGACCAAGCTGGCCTCCAACTCACAGAGATCTGCCTGCCTCTGCCTCCCAAGTGCTGGGATTAAAGGTGTGCGCCACTGCTACCTGAGATATTCGGTTCTTATTCTATTGTTGCCGTTTTTCTTCCACTTTGATGTTAACCTTTCCCAGAGCAAAACTAGAATAAGCCACAGGGCCATCCCCACAATATCTAGCTTTCTCACTTCTAGGAAGAGAGGCAGAACATTCTTGGTTTTGGAGTAAGCCTATGTCCTCTTAAGGTAGTTGACTGACTGTCCTGGCCCTTAGGAACCAAAGTTACTATAGAATTGGGTGGCTTTGTGACAGTTTTTTGTTTGTTGGTTTGCTTATCAAGACTTCTCCATCCTGCTGCAGAGCTAAGCTCTTGGCTCATCCACAGTGTCAGGGTTCTTGGAATCATAAAATCTTTCCCCCCTGTGATCAGATCCTAGGGAAGAGGAGTTTTTGCTAGAGAGACTTTCAAAAGCAGGGTTCCCAGGGCAAACTGAGCTAGCTATCTGAGGCACCCGGTGAATGCCATCCCCAATGTGACTGAAGCACAGGTGGCCTAGGTCATAGATAAAGCTGTCCCTACTCTCTTGATCTGGGGAGTGGGACTATGGCCCGTGGACAGGAAGACAAGCAGGTGTATAATCTGGGTGAGGTAGGATGATGGCCCTGTGAGCACAAACACTTACACTTGGCTTAGAATTCCCACACTAGAAGCCCCCCGAAGTGCCCCAACCAGTCCTATCATTCTGCCAAGCCTTCTTTCCTTTTCTTCTCATTGTACACATGTGTGCAGTTTGTTCTATTTGTGTAAACACATATGTACTAGTGTAGGTACTATGCATACTGGTGAACGTGTAGACCCAGGGTTGCTGTCAGGAGGCTTCCTCTGCCGTGGGCTCCTCCACCAGCTGAGGCAGGGGGTTTCCTCTGCTGTGGGCTCCTCCACTAGCTGAGGCAGGAAGCTTCCTCTGCATGGGGTCCTCCGCTAACTGAGGCAGGAGATTCCCTCTGTTGTGGGCTCCTCTGCTAACTGAAGCAGGATCTCTCAGTTGCACTAGGGCTCACAGAAATGGTTACTCTGGTTAGCTAACTTATTCCAGAGATCTCTATCCCGAGTCCCTCCTTCCAAGTGCTAGAGAGACAGGCGGGCCTCCATGCATGCCCACCTGACATCTGTATGGACTCTAGGGATTCCAACTCAGGTCCCCACACTTCTATGCCAAGTGCTTTGAAAGCAGAGCCATCTTCTCAGGCTCCATTTTCCTCTTCTAAGACCATGGTATGCTGAGCACATCTCACTCACTGGATGTTTCTTTAGGCATTTATTCTGTTGGTGTCAGACATAAGTCGTGGTTTCTCTTTCACTTCTATTACCTTCATAACCAACTGAAAAGCACACCTAATGCCAACGTCGGCCTGGGCATGGTGGCACACCCTTTCATCCCAACATTTGGGAGGTACAGGCAGGCAGATCTCTGTGAATTCAAGGTCAGCCTGGTCTACATAATGAGTTCCAGGACTGTATGGGGGGGGGGGTTGCTTCAAGAAACTTTGTTGCCATCCTTAAATCCTAATTCATTTTACTGATTATAGTTCAAAAAACAAAAAGAAGAATGCAGAGGAGCGGAAGTTGATTGATGAAGACTTTCAGAACGTACGAATGCAGCAAACTGGCTTCAGCAATTCCGGCTTCAGCAACTCCCGCTTCAGCAACTCCGGCTTTAGCAACAACTCTGACTTCAGCAACTTCGGAGCTGGCAACAGCATCTTCCCCAAAGTCAAGACCCAAAATCCTTATGCAAACCAGCGAAGCATGCCTCGCCCCGACTACTAGGTGAGTTACGCCTCTGACTTTGCAGCGTGTAATGCTCAGGCGGGGGAAGCTGAAGCAGAGCTGGAGAGGCGGCTCTTGGAGAGGACCTGGGCTCGGTTCCCAGCACCCCCCCCCACACACAACTCTAGTTCCAGGGAATCCAATGACCTCTTCAATTTCTGCTAGTTCCAGGCAAGCACATGGTATACATACATAAATGCAAGCAAAACACTCATGCACATAAAATCAAATCTGCTGGGAAGTGGTGGCACATGCCTTTAATCCCAGCACTCAGGAAGCAGAGGCAGGCAGATCTCTGTAAAATTCAGGCTAGCCTGGACTACATGTGAGCTCCAGGCTAGCCCAAGTGGGGCTACATATCAAGACCCTGGGACATAAAAACAAAACAAATGTGATGGAAAATACCAACAGCAGCAAAACCCAGCGTGCTGGGAGCAGTGCACATACCTGTATCCCAGCATTTGGGAGGCTGAAGCATGAGGACCACGTGTCTGAAGCCAGGTGACTTAGTTACTTCCATTGCCTTGATAAGACACCATGACCAAGACCAGCTATAGAAGAGATTACTAGAGGCTTGCAGTTTCTGAGGGTGAGTTCATGGCCATTGTGGTGGAGAGTGTGTTGGCAGGCAGGCAGGCATGACACTGGAGGAGCAGGAGAGCTCATATCCTTAGGAGACAGAGAGAGCTGACTGGGAATGGGAATGGGCTTTTGAAACCTCAAAGCCTGCCTCTAATGACACTGCTCCTCCGCCAGGGCCACACCTCCTAATCCTTCCCAAACAGTTCCACCCCCCAGGGGCCAAGTATTCACATGTGTGAGTCTGTGGGGGCCATCCTCATTCAAACCACCACCTCAGGCTAGACTAAATAGATCCTGCGTCAAAACAAACAGAAACACCCCAAAGGCATAAGGGAGAAAGCCAGAGAAGACAAGGGTGTTAATAGCCAAATCTCAGTGTTCTCTTGTTGCAGTTTGGAAATCTTTTCTAAGCCTCAGCTCTCTTCTTCTCTCTCCTCCTGTATAGAATGAGAAGAATTTGGAGCCCTCCCTAGCCCAGCCCACACAAGCTGTGATTTTGAGTGTTTAGAGGACAAGAGAAGTGGGCAGAGACAAAAACCTGACCTCCAGGGTTCTGTCTACCCCATCTGTCAACCCCTCTGAGTGTGGACCTGTATGAAGAATGCAGCTCCCTGAAGACACCTATAAAATTAAATGCACATAGACACTATGAGTCTTGTTAAGTGTTGATTTTCTCCAGTTAGTACAAAATGCTAAGATGGTGATTGGTATAGGGCTTTTCTTTCCTGGTGGACCAAGAGCATTTCCCATCTAGAGGGAGCACCCTCATAACCCGTCCCTGGGCAGTGCTGCTTCTGAGCTCCGGACTCTGGCCACCCGTGAACAGTCAGTGGCTTGTGGTAGGGCCTCACTCCAAGAACACAGGCACGAGACAGAAACATCTCCCAGCTTTCTCAGGAGGACTGCCGGCATCCAGGAACCTTCCGAAGAGAATGAGGAGGTTTGGATTAGCTCTGTCCTCCATGGGGACATTCAAGTCTTTCAGATGTTAGTTGGTAGGAGAAGCATGGAGGAAAACCATGAGCGTTAGGTAGAAGAGGGAAGCCAAGGAAGCCATGCTGGAAGGGCAAGTGAGGAAGAAGGGAGCCGGTGGCACCTAGTCCCTTGGTGTCCCTCCTCAGACAGCAAATGGGCACTTCTCAGGGGCTGCCCTCCCCAAGACATAGATCCTGGGAAAGCCATAAAAACAGGAGTCCGTGTGAAGTCTGGAGCTGTGTCAAATGGCCCAGGTATCCACTCTATGATGCAATTTCTACGGGTACTTCACTGGGCCTCAGCCTGCTCCACGATGGAGGCTTAGCAGTGCCCACCAACACCCGTGCGCATACATACACACGCACACACACATGACAAATACACGCAGTAGTCTTTTTAGATGTTTTTAATTGTGTCCTGTGTCTATCTGATGTCTGGTCCTCTCAACTGGTACTTTTATTTGTTAATATTATTTGTTTTTGACTGTTCATTGTGAAAAGCAGTGATGCAATAAAGCATCTTTGGTACACGGTACTTTGGTACTTCTTTCTTGTTTTGGGAGCTTTGAGGGATACACACAGCAGCAAGCCTCATTTTATTTTGTTTCTGTTTTGAGATAGGTCTCATGTATCCCAGGCTGGCTTCAAACGTTCTACATAGCAGAAGATAATCTGAAATTTCTGACCTTCCTGCCTCCAGCTCTCTAGTGCTAGGATTATGGGTGTGTGCCACCATGCCTGGTTTATGTGGTGGATAGGGATCATACCAGAGCTTCACGCATGCCAGACAAGCCCTTAGCAACCAAGCTAGCCTTAGTCCCTAGCATATGTCTTATTTCATTTTTTAAGGATGTGTTTTATTCTGAAGTGTGTGTGTGTGGTGTAGGTAGGTATAGATAGCCATGGAGGCCAGAGGCTTTATATCCTCTCGAGTTATAGTTAAGACAGACGAGAACTGTCTGAGATGCTGAGAACTCAACTCAGATCCTCTGCAAGAGCAGTAAGTACTCTGAACTGCCGAGTCATCTCTCTAGCTCTCCTCCCCTCTCATTTTAAACAGATAATGTGGCATGTCACCCACACGCTACTGACATTTACTGCCTTCTTTAGGGGTTTTGGATCACCCACAACATTTTAACATGTCATAGATCATGTTGGCTGCTATCCCCCAAACACAACTCCATGACAAGTAGCCAGGTGGGACTCGTGCCACTCCTGGTCCAGGGATGGGCCCAGGCTAATCAGTGAAGTCCCATTCTTCTGCCACTGGAGTGGACTTACGCAGAATACCTATGCAATATATTGAAAATCACCACGTGCTATTTCAGTTTGTTGAAAGTCCATTCTGGGAGCAAAAGAATCTCTTTTGTCCCAGACTCAGAATGTTTCTTTAAAGTATTTTCCCAAACTCTCTATCCCGTGACTGGTGAGATGATGTGGCTGATGAAGACCCCTGCTGCCAATCCTGACAATCTGGCTTGGATCCCTGGGACCCACATGGTGAAAAGAGAGAACCAACTCCCACAAGTTCTCTAACCTTCACACTCAGAAGGCAGAGGCAGGTGGGTCTCTGAGTTCAAGGTTAGCCTGGTCTACAGAGAGAGTTCCAAGACAGCCTAGGCTATACAATAAAATTCGGTCTCAAAATAAAACAAAACAGAACAAAAAAACAAATAGATATACTTTTCTGTCCTGAGTCCCCAATTCTGGAACATGAGAAAGGAAAATAGATAATGATGTTAAAAGATGTTGTGTCCTTGAGAACAGCTAGAGGGTAAACCATTTTCCGTAGAGGTTACTCTTGTTTATTCCATGGTGTAAAAATGCCCGTGGAGGAAAGAGAAAGCTGGAAGCCCATCCATGGAGAAAAAGCTCAGTCAGGAACTCCAGCTGGCTGCCTCAACCTCTGGTGTGGGAGGTCCTTTTGTCTGTGTTGCTTTTATTGGTTAATGAATAAAGAAACTGACTTGGTCTATAGCAAGGTAGAAGGAAGGTGGAGTCAGGGAAAAGGGATGGCGCTGCCGGAAACAGACACCGGAAAGCCACAGCCACATGCGATACACAGATTAATAGAAGTGGGTTAAATTAATATGTAAGAGTTAGCCGATAAGAAGTTCGAGCTAATGGGCCAAGCAGTGATTTACATAATACAGTTTTTATGTGATTATTTCGGGGCTAAGCAGTCAGAACCAACAAGCGCCCATAATGCAACAAACCTCCCTAATTGACTTCTAGCTGGATGTCGTAAGTCATTGATTTGATGTGTGAACTTAAGTTTCCAGGAGGAGGAGGAGGGAGAGAGATGCAGAGGATAACTGTAAAGACAATTTTTTAAAGACTCACGTTGGGAAGAATCCTGTGACAGAGGGGTCTGGGTGCTCTATGAGTCACGGGAGGTTGTGAGCTACCTGATATAGGTGCTGAGAACCCAGATCCCGAGTCCAGAGGAGCAGCACAGGCGTTTAAATTCTAGCCCATCTCTCCAGCTCCCACAAAGCACATTTGTTAGCTACTAGAGTCCATGTAGAGAAAGTCTGCGAAAACTGACTGGCTAATGCAATCAATCACCAATGTTGGTCTAAGTGCAGGATCTACCTTCAGTCAGCCCACCATTGCGATTTGCCATCCCAGACTTCACGTGGGGCACACGACCTCTCTATTTCGCGGGCAGCTTCAGATTTAGTAAGCTTTGAGCCCGGTCCCTAAACTGTTCCATCTGTTTGCCTCTGACTCACAACGTGCCAGCTCCCAGCATTTCTCAAGCACCTGAGTCGACAAGTTTTCTGGGCTTCCTGGGCCGTTCTTCAGAGACTCGCTGTTGTGGTATGAATACAAATAGCATTCTGAAGACCAGAGGTAGTCACGCACACCTTTAACCCCAGCACTCGGGAGGCAGAGGCAGGCAGATTTCTGTGAGTTCCAGGTCAGCCCCAACACCATCTCAAAAACAAACAAACAGGGTCTGTAGTCCAGGCTGACCTCAAACTTAATTTGTAATCAAAGATAACTGTGAACTTCTGGTTCTCCTCCCTTCTCCCAAGTGCTGGGATTGTAGGTGTGCACCTGTTGTAGAGGATTTTCTCATCGAAACGGCCACCGTCTTCAAGAGTTCTGCTGAGCCTGCTTGCAAAACTTCATCACACCTCGGCCTGTTGACTGTTTACCTTCCTTCATAGAAGAAGGGGGTGGGGGGGTCACGGGACCCTCACTTGCCTCACCTGAGTATCCACCACCACCCCAAATAGTTGCATTCAATTCTGCCCTGACGACGTGTGGTCATGGGGCACAGGACCAGAGAGGGTATAGGTGGGGAAAGATGAGGAAAGCGGGCTGTATCCATCTACACAGCTGTGGGGAAGCTGTGATTTCTGTGGGGTGCAGACCTTCCAGTGGGCTGATTCTCCCCCCCCCCCCCCCAAGACAGGGTTTCTCTGTGTAGCCCTGTCTGTCCTGAAACACGTTCTTTCGACCAGGCTGGTCTCAAACAGAGATCTGCGTGCCTCTGCCTCCCAAGTACTGATATTAAAGACATGTGCCACCACTGCCCAGCTCTTGGGACTGCTTTAAGAACACGGGTGTTGCTGCCCTTAGCCCTCCATAGAGCCCATTACTCTATAGAGTGAGCCTAATTAACTTATTGGTTCCCCCTGGTGGGCTTCTCTGGAATCACACCTGAGTTTGTCATTGGGCCCTCAGGAGGGAGGAGTTTTAGCAACAGCACAGCTCTGCTTGGCTTGGGCATTGGGACAGCATACAGGACCAGGCATGTTACATTTTAAATCTTGAATGGTTCCCAAAGGCCCCGAGCATTAAAGACTTGACTGCAGTTTGTGCTGATACTACAAGTAACTAGGACTCCTAAATAAGACCTGGCAGAAGGAAGTTTTTTGCGGAATATTATTTTAAGATGTGTTACATTTGTTTATGCTGTGAAATATTTGTTTAAAGATGCAAAGGTTGTTGCATTCGTTTATGTTGCATTTGTTTAACTCTATGAAGCTGTGTTACTTTGTGAAAAACACCTGATGGTCTAATAAAGAACTGAATGGCCAATAGGCAGGCAGGAGAGAAAATGGTGGAGAGGGGGACAGCTGGGCAGAGAGAATAAGTAGGAGGAGAGGCGGGAGGAGTAAGAAGAGAAGGAGAGGAGGACGGTAGGGGCCAGCCACTCAGCTACACAGCCAGGCTCAGAGTAATAAAGAAAGGTATGTAGAATAGAGAAAGATAAAAGCCTAGTGGCAAAAGATAGATGGGATAATTAAAAAAAAAAAAAGCGGAGGCTGGAGAGATGGCTCAGTGGTTAAGAGCATTGCCTGCTCTTCCAAAGGTCCTGAGTTCAATTCCCAGCAACCACATGGTGGCTCACAAACATCTGTAATGAGGTCTGGTGCCCTCTTCTGGCCTGCAGACACACACACAGACAGAATAATATATACATAATAAATAAATATTTTTAAAAAGCTGGCTAGAAACAAGCCACGCGAAGGCTGAGCATTCATAAGAAAAACTAAGTCTCCATATATTCATGTGGGAACTGGGTTGCAGGCCCCCAGAGAATGAAGAGTTAAAAAATCAAACTACAGAAGTTGGGCCACTGGGATCCCCTCCTTCTTCTCGATTTTACTTCCTGGCTGCCATGAGGTGAGGGGGATGGCATCCATTCCTGCCATGATGTCCTGGGTTGGGCAGGCCCCAAACAGCAGAGCTGAGATCCACAGGCCAGAGCTTTGGGAACTGTGAACCAAACACCAAGTTGGCCTCGAACTCACATAGATCCACCTGCCTCTGCCTCCTGAGTGCTGGGATTAAAGGTGTGTGCCACCACCACCCCGACTCTTTATATGAATGTTTTAAATTTTATTTAATTATTTTTTGAGACAGTGCCTCTGCTGTGTAGCTCTGGCTGGTTTGGAACTCACTATGGAGACCAGGATATTCTTGAACTTACAGAGATCTGCCTGCCTTTGCCTTCCAAGTGCTGGGACTAAAAGACTGTTCCCCATGCCCGGCCAATTAATTTTTTTTCAAGTGTGTGTGTGTGCATGTATGTGTGTGTGAATACAGACAGGCCTACTAGTGTGTACCACAACAAACACGTGGGGATCAGAAAACAGTCGGTTCTCTCTTTCCTAGATGCCAGGAAATTTGATGGTCAGTAGATGGCGCTGTCTCCTATAACTTGTAGAAAATGCCACTAAAGGAGCCATTCTTCCAAAAAGGCTTATTTCTAAAGGCTGGTTTCCTTCCTTCCTTCCTTCCTTCCTTCCTTCCTTCCTTCCTTCCTTCTTTCCTTCCTCCCTCCCTCCCTCCCCCCTCCCTTCCTCCTTCCCTTCCTTTTCTCCCTCCCTCCCTCCCTTCCTCCCTCCCTCTCTCCCTCCCTCCCTCTCTCCCTTCCTCCCTCCCTCTCTCCCTTCCTCCCTCCCTCTCTCCCTCGCTTTTTTGTTTGTTTTGGGACAGGGTCTCAGGTAGCCCAAGCTGAGCATGCACTTGCTATATAGCCAAAGAGTGACTGACCCATCTGGCTACCACCTCCCA